CCCAGACCCGTGCCGATGGAACCAGCCCACCTGCTGCTGAGACCCAGGTAAGGACCGAGTCCCCGACTGGTACCCTAGAACAGACTTTTGTTAACTGGGATTCCCCAGAGGAGTTTGGGAGGGAAACTCAGACAGATTCGACCCTCCAGAAGTATAGGGACAGAGCAGATACTGGAGAGGAAGGATTAGATGGGGAAAGGTATGAGTGGGTGGGGGACAGGTTGTATAGGATCCCCAAGCTTTCCCCGAAGAGTGTTGCCCCGCCGCCGAATCGACAGCTGGTAGTGCCCGCGAAATACCGGCAGGAGATTCTGCGGATAGGGCATGATGTTCCACTAGCTGGACATCTAGGTTCCCGCCGCACAGCCTATAGGATCATGCAGAACTTTTTTTGGCCAAACTTCAATCAGGCTGTGCGGACATACTGCAGTACGTGTGACACATGTCAACGGATAGGAAAGCGGGGGGACCACCCAAGAGCTAGGCTTATGTCTATGCCTATCATTGGGGAACCCTTTGCCCGCATAGCCGTTGACATTGTGGGTCCACTGGCCAGGGCTAGTCCATCCGGTAAGAAATATATTCTCACCGTGGTGGATTATGCCACTCGCTATCCAGAGGCAGTAGCGCTGTCTAATATAGAGGCAGAGACAGTTGCTGATGCCCTGGTTAGGATTTTTACCAGAGTCGGGTTCCCTCAAGAGATTCTCTCTGACCAGGGAACCCAATTCACCGCTGTGCTCACCCAGCAACTGTGGAAGGTGTGCGGTATTAAACCGCTGCTTAGCTCACCTTACCATCCACAGACTAACGGTCTCTGCGAGCGATTTAATGGCACCCTCAAACAGATGCTGAGGACCTTTTCTGACACTTGCAGAGACTGGGAGCGATTCCTGCCTCATCTGTTGTTTGCCTACAGAGAGGTGCCCCAGGAATCTACTGGGTTCTCCCCCTTCGAGTTGCTATATGGGAGAAGGGTCCGCGGACCCCTCGATCTCATTAGAGGCCACTGGGAGGGGGAGACAGAGCAGGAGGGGACCCCCATAGTACCCTATGTTCTGGAACTCCGGGACCGCATGGAGAAACTGTCCCTAATGGTAAGGGAGAATCTCCAGGTGGCTCAGGGGAGACAGAGGAGGTGGTACGATCGGGGTGCCCGACAGCGAGTCTTCCAGGTTGGGCAGAAAGTGTTAGTACTCAAACCTGTGAAGGCGAACAAGATGCAGGCATCTTGGCAGGGCCCGTATAAGGTGTTAGCACAGATATATGATACTACCTACCTTATAGCCAGCTGTTCAGATGAAAGGATCCAGCAATCCTTCCATGTGAACATGCTAAAGGAGTATCAAGAGAGACCGGAGAATGTCGCTGCAGTATGTGCCCCTGCTGCAGATGATACAGAAAGTTTACCCTTGCCAGACCTGTTAGAGAGGGACCCCCGGACGGATCTTACTAGCCTAGTACAGCTAGGGGACAGATTGAGCGCTACCGAGAAGGGCCAGGCAAGACAGCTTCTGTGGGAAAAGCAGGCGACCTTCTCCCAGGAACCTGGTTACACTACCCTAGCTGTACACAAGGTAGAAACCCCTGGACAGAACCCTCTGCGACAACCCCCTTACCGTATCCCTGAAGCAGTCCGGGAAGGAATGTGGAAGGAGATACAGGAGATGACCCAGCTGGGGGTCATCGAACACTCCGATAGCCCTTGGGCCTCGCCTGTAGTCCTGGTGCCCAAGAAGGATGGGACCACCCGGTTCTGTGTGGACTACAGGCGCCTCAATGAGCGGACCACCACTGACGCCTACCCGATGCCCCGGGTAGACGAATTGTTAGATCGCATTGCCAGGGGACGCTATCTGACCACCATAGACCTGTGCAAAGGCTACTGGCAGATTCCCCTGGCCGAGGATGCTATCCCCAAGTCGGCCTTCGTCACCCCATTTGGCCTGTACCAATTTAAGGTCATGCCATTTGGGATGAAGAATGCCCCGGCTACCTTCCAGCGTATGGTGGATAGACTTCTTGATGGATTCCAGGAATTTGCTTGTGCCTACCTGGATGACATTGCGATCTACAGTGAGTCCTGGGAAGAACACCTAGTGCATGTAGGGGTGGTGCTGGACAAGATTCGGGCCGCTGGCCTGACATTGAAGCCAGAGAAGTGCCATTTAGGCATGGCGGAAGTGCAGTACCTGGGTCACAGAGTAGGGTGTGGGAGCCAGAGGCCAGAGCCAGCCAAGATAGAGGCAGTTGCTAACTGGCCCACACCTATCACCAAGACCCAGGTGTTAGCCTTCCTAGGGACAGCAGGGTACTATAGACGCTTTGTCCCCGACTACAGCACTATTGCTAAACCCCTGACTGACTTGACCAAGAAAAATCTTCCTAAGCAGGTCCTGTGGTCTCCGGCTTGTGAAGCTGCGTTCCAAGCACTCAAACAAGCTCTTGTGAATGCCCCTGTCCTGGCTGCCCCGGTCCCTAACAAACGTTTTCTCGTCCATACAGATGCTTCCATGTATGGACTGGGGGCTGTGCTGAGCCAGGTCGGGGAAGATGGAGGAGAGCACCCTGTCGCATATCTCAGCAGGAAGCTGTTACCCAGGGAAGTGAGTTATGCGGCAGTGGAGAAGGAATGTTTGGCCCTGGTGTGGGCATTGAAGAAGCTAAGCCCGTATTTATATGGACAGGAATTTTCCCTGGTGACGGACCACAATCCCCTTGTCTGGCTTAACCGGGTCTCTGGAGACAATGGCAGACTGCTGAGGTGGAGTTTAGCACTACAGCCATATAACTTCACCATCACTTATCGACCCGGTAAGCAGAATGGGAACGCAGATGGATTGTCCAGGCAAACCGACATCCTCACCCCATCTTAGTCCGGTCATCCCCACGTTGACCCGCTAAAGGGTCAAGCCGGGTCTGCCGGAGTGTCCCACAAGGGGGGAGCCGTGTGACAGATTCATCTGCATTGTTGGTTCGTCTGTTTCCCTTTGTTCGCGGAATTGCCTGTTCGTATAACCCCGTTCGTGTAATTTGCAAAACTACCGATTGAAACTACCGAACGAACGACCACCCAGGAGAGGAGTGTGCTGCTGGTTAACCTATTGGCCCCAATTAGAACGTTGTGGTTAACCGCAGACACCTCTCCATTCCATTCGTACGGGTGGTCGTCGTTCGCATGTCGACCACGAGGCAGCGGCCATTTTGGGACATACGAACACAGAGCGGTGTTCGGTACAAACTGTATGGAACTAAAAACGGACACTTAAACTACCGAACACCGCTGAAAAGCTGCTGCCTACCTTCCTTTTCGACAAGGCATGCGAACGTCGGTCGTTCGGGAGTTTTGTTCATTCGTATGGACTTTCGCCCCGACAGCCATCCCATGGAGTCATTCGTATACCGAAGGACTGGTGAAAGACTTTGACTCCATGGCGATTCGACTAGATACATCGGATCTGAGCGCTATTCGGTGAAAACATGCCCTCAGATCCAGGCTGTCAGGGGATACGTTGCACGAACCATATGCATTCGGTAATTCTGTCGTTATGTATTTTAATGTAAATTTGTTACTGTATTCCAAGATGGCGATTGTCTCTACCTTGAGAGATAATTAGGTTTCTTCCTAATTATCTCCGAGGTAGAGGAGAAGGAATTATGGGCAAGATGGGAAGGGCTATTATTGAAGCCACTGCGATTGGCTACTGTACAATATGTTTTACAGTCTTCCACAAGGTCCCCTCGGGGAGTGTCCACCTTGTGGAGACCTGCATAAATACCGGGCAGGTAGCCCCCATTAAACAGATCTTCATTTGACCCTCAAGACGGAGCTTGGTCTCGTTTGTGGGGGGAATTATTACTGGGACAGCGCTTTCGTTATTTCTAGCTGTGGAAGGCGTTCGACTGTTTGGCTGATCAGGAGTTGCCGTGTTCGCGGACTTCGTTCGGGAGTTTGGCGGTCGGCTGAATTTAACCTGCATTTCTGGAGAAGGGGATTATTGCCTAAACGGCGGCTTCATCTACCCGACGGCACGTGTCGTAACAATTTGGTTTAGGCATACCTTCAAAAATTAAAAGGACTCTTCAGTACCACAACCACTACAGCTTACTGTAACACTGCATCTTTTTTGAAGTAGTCATGGTCCAAATAAGCTTGGGACAGTCCCTCTGTTTTTTCCAAACAATTTGGAGTGGCTAGAGAGAAAAAATGAGGCTCAGCAGCACCAAGACCCCACCGACTGCTTTCTTTTTCTCCTTACCCATCCAAAATAATTGTACGAAGTAATCAGGATTCCGACCTCGTGAGACACAGGCTCACGTAGAACCACATAGGATCTGCTTCCAAAACCGATAACAGCAATTCAGTGGCACTGAAAGAGTCAATGCACAGCCAGATCGTGTCCACTACAATTATTTTGAAAAAAGTGAAACACTTATTTTTATCACTATCCAACCAGACGATTGGCTACAAAAGAATCTTGCGGTTCTGCATCATACAGGTTAACTAAAGCAGAGCAGCCTGTGACCATAGCTTTTATTACATGATAAATATCTTTACAAGCTGTAGTGGTTATGGTGGCTGGAAAGTTATCCCACATTGATTACCTTGAATAGTTCATCGTAAGCGAGGCTGTTTCTGCCATTGACACTTTGACACAGATGTAACAAAATTAGATTCAAAGATACATCTCTATAAACCTTAGCTGAATCATCCTTCATCTGGAGTAGAGGTTTATAAAAAAAGTGTCATACTTTATCACAAAATGAAAATAGAAGTTTTTTCTTATATGTAAAGTTCAGAGAGATCTTATTGCTTCATTTATTTAAGGGAATATATTAGTTATAATATATATATATATGTTTTTGTTAATTTCATTATTATTATTTTATTTAAACAAGTATTAATACATTATATGACTATTATTATCCTTTTTGTTGCAGTTCTGTATTCTAGAGAAAACGAGGTGTGTGAATTAGAGGTGTAGGAAAAGACCGGAGGAATGAAGTCCAAAACGACTGAAACCACCTTGGGGCCTGAAATTGCCACGTGGTCTGATATTTACACAATGACTGAAACCTCCACGCTGGCTGAATCTGCCATGGTAGCTGAAACTGCCACACTGGCTGAATCTGCCATGGTAGCTGAAACCTCCACGCTGGCTGAATCTGCCATGGTAGCTGAAACTGCCATGCTGGCTGAATCTGCCATGGTAGCTGAAACCTCCACGCTGGCTGAATCTGCCATGGTAGCTGAAACTGCCACGCTGACTGGAAGTTTTTGATAGTTGAAGCTGCCACAATGAATGAAACTGCCACGATGGATCAAACTGTCACCGCGGATGATAGATGAAGCTGCCCATTTGACTACAACTGCTCAATGGATGAAATTACTACAGGGAAAACACGTTTCGGTGCAGATCTGCTCTCCTGTATTTAAAGTTTAAACAAAACAGGAAAAAATGAGCTTGTTTGTGTTAGACTTCAGTTCTCATTTCACTGGAGCCATCAAAGTGGCAAATGTCTAATTTCTCTGACACGTAAAGAAAATATACATTTGCGGCCTTGAAACACTCTGCTGAAATACAATAAAAACAAGCAGATTATTAGTAATGACAAGGCTGCATTCACAGCTGCCGTGTATCTGTCAGTCACCCAGCAGCAACGGCAAGACAAGGGCATCGCAGAAACCACTTCCTTCACTACCTCGGGTTGTTTTAATGACAAACGAGGGATTCCGTCCTAATTATTCTGGAGCTGTTCTGTTAGATTACATGTATCATGCAGTCTGTTTACGCCACCTTCTATAACGTGCAAACTGTCAGGATCCAATCGGCTAGTTAAACTCTGAGAAATTAATGAATTGTTTATTTAATATCTACAGTAAACATTTGAAATCATAGTAAATATAATGATGTCAACAAGTATTTGCCCCCTTACTATTGTTCATTATTTATCTCCCTACAAAAGGTGATACACAATGCAGAAGACAAAAAGAATGCGAGTAAAAACATTTTTTTTATAATGATCATTTTATTTATTTGAGAAAAAACGTATCTCTGGACTTATATTACATTTGGTATAAAGATTTAAAAACCAATATGCATCCACAGAGGAGATTAGGAAAAAGACTAAAGTACTTGTTCACAATGCTCACTGCATGAATTATCCATACGTTACTGAGGAAGCCTAAGAGAGGCGGAAACGTTTATTATAATAAAAAGAGAAAGAAAGGGATATTAATTCATTAATGTCACTGGGTCTCACAGTAATATTTTTTTTAATAGTCAGCATCCGTGTCAGAGGATGCAGATGTTTGTGGTCCTGTCTGCTGCTTCTATAGGTCAGGGTTGGGTCCAGCATCGCCCTACCTCTGGTTCTGCACGGAGTTGGTATGTGTCATTGTATGTGTCTGGTGGGCATAAGATGAAAGATTAAGAGCTGTAGTTTATTGTCAGCTCCTCTTCTGTCTGGAACAGAGACTACCGAAAACTACAGACCTGCAAGCTTGACTACTGTGGCTGGGAAATTGTTTGAGGAATCAACATGATTTTATGAAGGACTGGTTATGTTAAACTAACTTAATTACATTCTATGAACTTAGTCAAAATATCAATCAGGGTGATCCAGTAGATGAGAGCTAGTTCATTTTTTTATAAAGGCATCTGGTACAGTTCCACACAAAAGGTTACTAGTAAAACTGAAATCAGTTTGGTTACATGAAAAATTGAAAGGACAGTGACTTAAAGTTAGAGTGTATAGAATAGTCGTAAATGGAAACACTTAGAAATGGACACAAATGGTAAGTGGGGAGCCGCAGGGTTCTGTAATATTTATAAATGATCTTAAAGTGGGCATTGAAAGTCATTTGTCTGTATTTACTGATGACAAAAGTAGGTGAGAAAATCCAGTTTGAACATGATATAACTTCTCTACACATGAATTTGGATACATCGGGGGACTGGGCAGGTAAGTGGCAGTTGATATTCGATACAGATAACTGTAAAGCAGGGTTTTCCAATAAATTTTTCCTTTGGAA